CAGAAACCCTCTTTAAATGCTGTCCCACTTATTTATAAAATTTCCCCTTCTTCCCTTAATACAACCAGGAAAGAAATTTAAGACTTGTGAAACTTGGAGCTTGTCACTTTTCTATGCAGGTGGCTGTGCAATAACATGCTCAAGTAGCAATATGGGGACCAAAGCACCTGGTCTCCTTAATTGGTGAGCTGTTGCTTGAAAGGCAGCAGGAGGTGCTCCTGAGACAGAGCTCAGCCAGAGGGATGCCAGCTCCCTCACCAGCAAGGTTGTATTGGATTTCTCCTGGCTTTTTTATTCCTTTCCACATTATTTCCAAGTTTCTGCACCTCAAGTTGCTATGCTAGGCTGTAACACATTGGTCAGTCAGAGATCAGAAGGTAGAGAAGGCAGAGTGCAGAGGATGGATTATTTTTTGAGGCAAGCACGTGGGGCTGGTAGGGCGAGGAGCACAGGGCACAAAGATGTTTTAACTTGAAAAAATGCTGCATGTTATCTGCCAAAGTAGCTGGCTGCCGCCAGTCCAGCAGCAAGCTCCCCTCCTGCCTCCCAAGTGCTGCACCATTGCACCCGTGCTCCCTCCATCTCCAGAGAGCAACTCAGTTATTGCCCCCGCCCCTTCCCCAGGCAGTTTTTTCCCAAATCGGCTCCCAGAACAGGCGCACTGTTCCCCTCCCTGAGCAGTAGGGCCCTCGCTTGCTCCCGTGGCCACAGCCTCTGCAACGATTGCCACCAGGGACAGCCTCCAAAGGCAGCAGGGCAGGGGCACAGGGTGCCCAGGGTGGCGAGGCGCTGGAGGGCTCTGCTGGAGCATGGGTAAGGCCAGTACAGCTGTTTCGGCATCCATTCCCTCCCTCGGCTGCTCATGTGCTGTTGTACGTGGTTAGCTCAGGATACCTTGTCATATGTAAATAAACACACACCACACACCCCCCGTCAATGGGCTCCGGCCGTTCTGCTTGGCCCGAAGGGCGTTCACAGTGAAGCGTCCTCACCCAAAGCTCAAGCCTTTTCTTGAGAAATCTGGGGGCAGCGTTATGTCTAGACCAAGCCTCAAGAGAAAAAAAGCAGCGTGGTGTATACAAAAAGCAGGCTGCAAGACAAAGTGACAACGTTTTCTCATCCAACCTAGCAGTGTAGCAAGAAGATGAGTCCCTCAGCCCTTCGCAAGGAGAGGTCGAGTTGCAGCCAGGGCAAAGGCAAACCACAAGGAGCTCTGCCAGCTCCTCCACGGCTCTGGCCCTGCGGAGACAGGCCAAAATCACCCACAACATTAAATCCCGGTAGCAGTAAGACAAGAAGAGATGACGTACTGAAATATGCTTGCTGGACATCTTTGCACCTCTCCCAAGTACCACTGTGGCCGCCGCCGCCTGTACCAGCAGCAACCTAAAGATGGTGGTAGAAAATCAAGGATCAAGTTTTGCACTTCTATTCTGAAAGGTTTTTACTCAGATTAGCTGGTTTGGTGCTAATTGACAAATCAATTGAAGTGAATTGATTAATCACCTTTCAGGTTTTTATATTTACTCATTTCACATCAGTTGACCAGACAGCAAGGTCCCCGGCTGCATTTAAAAGACTACGGATTTACCAGTGGTGCTGTTGCAGCTGTGATGGTCTTGGGACACGGTCAAGAGAAGGGCTGTAGTAGAGTTAATACTTCTTATTACCAACTGAGATAGGTGGCTTAAACAAACTTTGGGGCACACTCCCTTTATTTTAAATCTAATTTTTCTGTGTCTTTTGTTTCCTTTATTACCGGGTGTCTTCGGATATCCTCCTCAGGCAGCAAAAGAAGAGGAAGAAATAACCCACGTCAAGATTAAAAAATAAAATGTTAAGTGCGTGTATTCAGAGCCGGTCACAAAGAAATTCTCAAAAATATTATCTCCCCATCTTCTACTTCCTCTTTACGAAAATATTTGCTCTATAGGCATACAGAACTCAGTCAACAGGCAAGTAATTTTCTCCTGGAAAGAAAGAGTTCTCTTTTGAGGTCTAAAAAGTAAATAATTTGCTTTAAAGCTTAGCGGCGTGATATTCATATAGTTGTAGATTAAAACAACAGAAACAGGAAATTATTAACTTGATCACAGGCTTGGCTTGCTTTTAATTAGTCTGATAAATGAATGATGGAAAGTTACTATTGTTATTGGAGATTTAAATTGAATTTTCCATAAATTTATGAGGCAGCTTGTTCCTAAACCTTTCTTACCTAGACCCAGCCTTGTCAGCTTACTCAAATGATCTTACAGCCTCTTTGAAATGGAAATCATTGATTTTTTTAAGTTGTTCCTGAGTGCTGACTAGAAAACTCATGTTTAAATGACCAGTGACCTGTTGCACAGCTCCCAATAGCTTCCATACCTGTCTTCTCTTCAACCCCGAATATGAAACTAAAAATAGAAAAATCATAAGAGTTTCTCTTTGAAAAATGTCAGTAGGAAACAAAACAAGAATAAAGAATGGTATGTTCTGAGACATCAGTTAATCACGTCTTCCAGGCTAATGTTTCTGCTTTAGATTTTTTTATTTCACATTGTTAACATTTTTCATGTTTAATTCTTTTAACTTTTTCTTTTAAATAAAGCAAATACTTTTTAAAATAAAGCATACACTAAAAAATAGCCTAAATCATATTTTCTGAACAGCTGTCCCCAGACTGATTCTAGTAGCACCCATGAGCAGCAGGGGTGCATGTTTGCATTAATATTTTACTTGAAATTGCTCGGAAAACATAAGCCAAGGCTGAAGCCTGCACTGGCAAGGAGATTTATGGAGCAGGATACTAGGGCAATTCTCATGAACTACAGCAAAACCACACAAGAAGGAAAACGAAGTAAGACTTAGGGATCTTCTGGGGAAGAAAAGCTAACGAACTGACGTTTGCTCCTCTGGCTGGGGTGTAAGAGAGTAAGGAAGGGGAGCTCTTCTTTAAAAACACAGCTCTTTCTTTAACCAAAGGAGTGGCCCGGCTGAAGTTAGTAGGAAGCAGCTTTGAGACAAGACCTGTGAATATGAAGTTCACGAGCGAAGAGCCGTAATGAAGTCCTGGGACTGCTGAATCCCCAGCGACCCTCCTCATGGGCATGGTCATCCCTGTCATCCCTGATGAAACCTAATCGCATGAATTTTTCTTGGAAGAAGGACTGTCCCCATATGAACTGATTGTTGTTCCCAGCACTTGGGCTTCTCCCTGGGCTCTAAAAATAGTGAGTGTTTGGCTGTATTCCCAAGCAATAAAAGCAAAATCTTTCATCTTAAGGGATGCCAGCAGAGGAAGGAAGACAGAAGGAAAATACTGCATCAGTCCTAAAGGATGTAGAGGATCTGCACACTACGAAGGAAGAAGATGAGAAAGCAAAGGGGTGCCGTGGTGCAGAGGTGCTGTGATGCTGTTGTGGAGCGGAGGGCACCCCACCCTCCCTGGCAGGGAGACTCCCACCCAGCCTAAGGAAACACGGCTGGGGAGGCAATAGGTGCAGACCCAGGCTGGCCTCAAGTGCGGGAGGCACAGCCTCATGCTCCGATCTGTGTGACTCATTCAAATAGACGGGGATAGATCTTTCCCCAAGAAGACGAGACAAAGAGAAATTTCCAAGCAGCTCTGACAAGCTTAGCTTTAGTCTTGCTAAGCTGAACATGCCCTTGCTATTTTCAACTCACTGCCATAGGCAAGCGAACAAAGAGGAGGATCATGTTGGCAGGCTGTGAGGTGTGGAGAGGGTTCTCAAAAAGCAGAGGCAGGGACAGCGTTGGGCTGCTGTAGCTCCTTCTGTATTCCAGTAACTGGCCTCCTTCCTCTGCCCCAGGACAGGACCTTCCACCAGTCCCCGACCGTCCCAGGAACCGGGCTGCTGGGAATTAGCCAGGCTGCGATCCAGAGAAGTGCCCAGATGCCCCCTCTTGGGAAAGCAATTTCAAAGTAGGACGTTCAGCTGTGTGCACCGCCACTGAATAACAGGAAAGCATGCGAAGAACGGCCAGGAGCCCGGCTTTCCTAAGCAATCACGACTTCTGCAGGGAGTTACGCCGAGCGTTGGCAGCAAAGTAAAAATCTAGCTGTTGCTTTTCTTTTGCTGTAGCGTTAAGATGCAGAGCTGACCCTCCTTCCTTTCCACGCAGGAAGGGGAGAACGGCCTGGAAAATCCTCCAGCCCTCAGGCAATGCTTCACTTCTCATAGGCAAATATGCTCTTTACCTCGCTGCTATCTTAAGTAAATATTTCCCCAAGAATGTTGTCAGCTCTCTAGTCTGATGCCATTAATTGATTTCCATTAAATCAGAGGACTGCTTGTCTTCCAGATAAAACACTTGTCTGCAGATTAGCCCCTCAAACCCCTATCGTTACTAATGAAACATAACGTGGATCAGCTTAGCACCTCTTCCAGCTGGTACAACTTGTGCAGCCACATGGGTCTTGCAGTAAACATGGAGAAAAACAGCGTAGGGTGTTTCTTGCTGGTTAATTAGTGTCTCCAAGTAAATTCAGCCAGAAGTGCAGAGTTTCAATTGGTGATGGAAAAATGGGAAAGGACAGATGTCAGTGGTTCGATCATGCTCCAAAGCACTGAAAGGCCGTATCTCGACTGCCGATTCAAGATAAATATCACGTCACTGCTCTCTGCATGCGGGGCTATGTGGCCAAGTTAGTGCCAGTCATACAGATGCAGGGTCCCGGCATCTATGTTTGTCAAGAAAAAGGTGTGTTAGGTATAAAACGAAGGCCCAGGGTAGCAGCCTGTGTCATCAGCATAGCCTTTGCACAGGTCAGGAGAGCGCGCTTCAAAACCAAGCTCCCCGCTTGTGTGAAGAGGGCACATTGCAGGATTTGCATGCGCCCTTCTGCGCAGCTTGCCGGACTGTCATGGATCTTTTTCTGTTTCCATGACTCGCCGGCCCCTCCTCTGGCTCTGAGCATTTGAAGCTGAGCTCTTTCGCCAAACAGTCCTTGCTGAAATGTCAATACACTACCGGGACGCTGGCTCGCAGGGTTCATCATGGTTTCCAGGCAGTGCATGGCTTTGTTTCTCTGCTTTCTGCTACTGATTCCTCTTTCTCTGGATGCAGGTATGTCGTAGGATATGGCTGTAATTATGTTTACTGGCAATGGACCTCTCTCCTGTTACTCAGACGTAATTTTCATTGCAAGTTTTAAGCACTGTTGCATGTTTGTCCTGCCTCTGCTTGTGCCTGCGAGTTATTCTAAGGCTCGTTTGCTTTCAGTGATGGCATCCACACGCTTATTTTGCCAACTAAAGGAAAGCACCTCTAGACTGCTAAGTGAATCTATTATCTCACTGCACAGACAGCAGGGAAACCATCAGCTGTCTGCCCACTACGTGAAAAAAGGAACTTGGATTTATTGTTATTTCATATTGAACTGTGGTATTTTTCAAAGCAAAGAATCAATAGTCTGTCATTCAGCTGATGAGAAATTAAAGAGGTGAGGATCCGCCCTGTTTCGGCAGCAGTAGAAGGCAGTGAGGTGGTAGCTCTTCGGTGGCTCCAGTACGTGTCTGAAAATCGGCTCCCAAATTAATAAAGCAGACCCGCTGCTTTCAGATTCCCAATTAGGCATTGACTGGGTCTCCCACACTGCAGTGAACAAAGCTGGACAAATACTTAGCAAAATCAAAAGCGTTCCAATGTAAATAAGTGGAAAAATGCCGAAATAAAAGTGGGAGGATGTCCCCAGCCATGTGCCCAGGCACGCTCCTCTGTCGGAGTCTGTGCCTGTGCACTGATACATGTGTCATGTACCTGCAGTGGAAGGTTAATGAAAAGCCTTTGAAGAAAGCCATATTAAATGCATGCAGCCTGACTTTGAAATCATGCAGAAAGACCCAGCTGACATTCCTACAACGGGCAAATGTTTATGAAGCAACCTGGGATAAATTCAATGCACGCCACACAATATTTATTCCTTCAAGTAACTTTGAAATACAGGGAAAATTCCTACTATTTTGCATGTAATTCAGCAAATGTTCTGATTACACAAATGTTCAGAGACACCTCACCAGACTGGAATAAACCCTCCCAGGATTTATGTTTGTGTGTATGTCGGTGAGGACCCACATGAGCCTTGTCCTTCAGCAGCCACCTCAGGGCCCTTCCAGCAGGTAGGAGGTAACTCCCGCTCTCTCAGGGGTCATGCAGTGGAGAGTGTCCTGTGGGAAAGGCAGGTGATATACACCAGCTTCAATCCCCAAATCTACCCACAATCCCAGGTGAAATAGTTAAAAGCGCTGAAATGTAAATTGTCATGAAGCTCCAGAATCCCCTACTGACATGGAGGAGGAAAAAAATGCAAAATTAATTATTTCAAGACTTGTTCTGTGTAGTACATGGAGCAAAAGTACACTGCAGCACTGGGACTTCTTGTTCATTATCCTGAATTATACCGGGAGGGCATAGTTGTGTGATGTGCTTGTATCCTGAAGCTGAGGAGCAGATCAGCGTGGTGACAATGCTGTCAACTCTTTCAGTGCATACTTCTGTCAGTTGGAAGTTGGTGTAGCTCTACGCTGTGAGCTCTGCTCACGTCTGCTATTGAACCTGTGTACCCAGTGTCTTTCCAAAGCACGGCAGAGACGCACAGGGGGAAGACCCACGTGGCTGTGGTCTATGGTGCTGGCAGCAGCCAGGAGCCATCCGCAATGCAAACAGCATTGTCTAGCCTTCCTATTTACCTTAATGTAGCCTTTTTACAGAAGAAAACTAAAGATAAATATATTAAAGCAGTGGTTCTAAAATTGTGGTCTACCAGTGGCAGGGGAAGTCCCTTCTGCAGGGCCAAAGAGTGAAGGGGTGTGAGATAACACGGGTGAGGAATGGAGCACTGGGGAGTTAGTTAGGGGTGACTGTGGTCCACCTGTCACCAGTGACTTACTGTAGCGAGTACAGGAAAATCGGGTGTCGCCATGTATGTCAGCACTAGATAAAGCAACACATGCTTTTCAGCTGCTAGAATTGAAAGAAACTGTGCTGTGCCTGTTGAGACCTACTATATGACATGCGATGGTACCTTAGGAATCACTGACACACAACGCTGGTGTAACATATCATCTTCTCTTAAGCTCTGGGCTCTGTAAAATTCACGTGCTGCCATTTTACCTGGGAGGCAGGCCAGAGAAAGGAGGCTCTTTCACATTTGCCCATTTCTTTTCTAAAGCATCTCAGAAAAACCCTGGGAAGCAGAAAAGCTTTCAGGGGAAATTGTCCCCCCGTCCTCCCTGTCTGGAGAGCGCAGTTGTACGACAAACAGAACATGCCACTGTTTTTCAGTCTTTCTAAAGCAGGAAGAGGCAAGCAGCATTCTGCAACGGCAAAGACGAGCCAACAGCTTCTTTGAAGAGATAAAACTGGGGTCACTAGAGCGAGAATGCATGGAAGAAAAGTGTTCCTTTGAGGAAGCAAGAGAGATTTACTATGATGATGAAAGGACAGTAAGTAATGCGGGGCTGGGTGAGCGCTCACTGTCAGATGGACTCCCCCTACTCAAGGGTGTGCTTTGACACTTTAAACCATGAGAGCAAAAAAAGCCCTTTGTGTCCTGCTGTTTGCGTCTTTCTCTTATATTTATAGGGGGACGTGCAGCAGGAGTGAGTTGCAGGAGGGCATACTGCATGGGCCAGCCCAGGCAGTACCGACCTGGGGGATGGTGGGAAAGTGGATGCTCTCTAAGTCGTCTTCCCAGCCCCCCTAGTAATTCCTGGCCTGACAATACCTTACATTATTGTATTGTGCAACATCTCTTTCAGTCAATCCCACCTCAACTATATGGAGGTTATTGATGAATAACCTATTTGTGTGTGTTACACAGTGCCCTTCTCTATTGGTATATAAAAATAATGTAGAATGTAGGACATAATTTAGAATATTTTATGGATATCAACTTTTATAAATTACAAAGGCAAAGGGGCATCACTGTGGCTTCCTGTAACCCCTCTTGTACTACAAGGGCTGTAGGACTTAACCTGAGTTAATTTTTCTTTAATTAAATCTCACATCTTTTTCTTCCAGAAAGAGTTCTGGCACATCTATTCCGGTATGATCGTTCGGGATGTTCTAGCAGCTGCAAAAACGCTCCCGCTGCTGCAGCTCTTCGCGTGAGCCGGACTGACACTGAATGTTTTTACAGACCCTAACCAGTGTGACTCCAACCCCTGTCAGAACGGCGGGAGTTGTGACGACCAGTTTCAGGATTACGTGTGCCGCTGTCCCGTCGAATATGAAGGCAAAAGCTGTGAAAAAGGTCAGCTCTTGCATAGCTTAACAAAATAAAGATGTCATTATTAATTCAAATGCAAGGCATTGAGATAAACAGTAGCAATCATTATCATTCTGCATCATTTTAGCAGTGACAGCTACTGTTCATACTGCCTGCAGTGTCGTGTGATGGATCTAATCAGCTGGCAGTCAGGCACTGCAAGGCACCAAGATAAATATTACCCTATGATGATTTTGTAAAAAAAAAGAAAAATTGCCTTTTTTGCCAGGTCTGAGAGAAACGGAGGAGGTTTTTTTCCTACCCAAGTGCTGAAGTTACTTTGACGTAGAAGCTCGGTGCAGTATGTGAACGAGAACTACGCTGCATATGCATGGTCCAAAGCCCGAGGGGACAGATCCAGCGGTTAATGAAGTCTTTCCATTGATTTCAGTGGGCACTGCACACTGAGTGTTACACTTGTACCCTCAGAACATGCTGAGCGCAAACAAGGACTAGGCACTCGTCAAGTCTCACCAGGCAGTCTCAATGGTCATCCCAGAGCATCCTTCTGCCAAATGGCAAAATACAAAATAGTTATAATTTTTCAGTCATGTGTTATGGCGGTTACCACACAGTTACACCACCTCCAGACAGCTCAGATACTGTATAAACGCAGAGTGATTTAGTTCAGTTCTTAGGCATAGACTTTTCCTCCCTAATCCCTGGAGATCCAGGTCTGCCTCGCTTTTGCCAAATGGAAGGTGTTTTTCATGCAGTCACTGTACATAAGTCAGAGAAATCTGCTTTGCTGCCTTGCTTCCCTGTCAACATTTCAAGTTGCAATTGACTCATGGTAAGCACCAAAATCCACATTTGGAAACATAAATACTCTTTCTCTGACTTTAGCCACGGCTGACAAACTGAAGTGCATTTACGACAACGGTGGCTGTGAACAGTACTGTACTGATGAGCAGTCCGAAAAACGAGTGTGCTTCTGTGCGGACAATTACACTTTAGCGAGTGATGGTGTGTCCTGCGTTCCCCAAGGTAAGATACTACTAGCCCGGTGCTAAGTCTAAGCCAGCCCTGGAAGAAAAGTTTTCACGTACACATCAGGAGGTGCAAGGTATGACCCTTAGCCGCCAGCTCCCCACCTCTCCTTCAAGGGCAGAGTCCAGAGCAGTAGGTTTGGGCTTCTGGTGGAAGTTAGACACCCCAGAAGAGCCGTTGGGGAAGGGTGCACACCGAGCAGGGAGCCCTTTGGAGCCCTCCTTCCTGGCCCCAGAGGTAAAATATTTTGGGAAAATATTTTTTGGGCAGTATTGTTTTAGTGTTGGATCTCCAATCTGAATTTGTGACCATGGATTTTATTACCATATTTATTTCAGCACAGGAGTCAAGAGACGAAGAGGCCTATTAAAACCAGAGAAAATCAGTTATTCTTTTTTTTCCTCTTCTTTTTTTTTTACCTATACAGTAGGACCAATACACTTTTGATGTTCCTCTAGCCGCTACGGCTAGATATTTCTCTTACTCATCTAACAAGGTAAATTTCAATTGAGACTAGGACAGCACAAGTTAATTATTTTTCCAGTACATAAGCTGGCACCTGACTCCATTGCAGATGCCTACTTCAATTACTTTATTAGAGGGGAGAAAGAGACCCCTGGGGATATGAAAATAATGGACAGAGCTGCAGGGAGCATGCGAAGTAATTCTGAGGGGTAATGCCCCCCTACACACACCTCAATGGAGCACTCATGCAGAGAACTGATAATGACAACCTAGCTCTCAACAACAGCAATTTCATTAGAAAACAATGTCTAGTAATGCGCTTATCCCTTATTAGCAGATTCTGCAATATCACGTGATGGGGAAGCTGCTTTTGTTAAAAGCTGAGAACAACGAATTCAATATTCCCCATAGGCTTTTCAGCCTGTCTTCCCCTGCGAGGAAGATGTATTTGTTGCTGCTTGCTTCTTGGGGACCAAAATACCCGTAGCACTGACCGTGTGTTGCAAGGAGACAAAACCGTGTAACTGCCAGACTGCCAGTCCCTTCGCCGTCCTTCTGGCATCTCTCACAATGTCCCTTTCAAACGCCCAAACTTGCGTTGCCCCGCATGCAGCGTTAGAGGGTATGGGTTTGTGTCAGGTCTATGCTAAACTTCCACCAGCTGCCACCACCGAGCCAGTCCCGTTTCTCCATACCTTGCCTGTTCCTGTAAAAGCTTGATGCTGTCTTTGCGTCAGGTGAAGTGATCAGCACGTTCAGGCTATTACAGATCCGTGGGGATGTCGGATTCAGCTCAGCGCAGACTATAGGGCCCTGGCTCCCAAACTGACAGAGGGTGAGCACTCGTCCTCACAGTGTTATCGCAGAGTGACTGCTGGATGTAAGGGACGGTGTGTTCGGTTACAGCACGGCCACATGGCACACAAAAAACCCCAAAGGTAGACCTTCTTCTTCTTGAAGGGAAAACTCTGTTGGGTGAAGGATGTACTGAAAACACCAAGGCTTCCTCTGCACTGCAGCTCAGTCGCAGGTTCAGTCCTCAAGATTTGATTCTCATATTGCCAATCTTCACACGCTTGCTCAGGCTAAAAACGAACCTTAGACTGAGGTGTGCAGTCCGGAAGAATCAAGGATGCTCTGGACCCAAGCAAACTAGGCACAGTCTGCTGGGAGGCATACCAGAAGACATAGTGTCTGCTCTTAGGAGATCTTTGGGTCCACCCAAACAAGGGATAGCAAGCTGCACGTCCCGTGCTTAAGCCTGTGTCTCACCCTGCCGTGGACGCTGTGCACTTAGTATAACTGAGTTAAAGTCAGCAGGGTCGCTGAAAACAGCAACAAAAGCTTGACAGAGTCACTTCTGCTCTCCAGCCTGCAGCCTACCTCATTGTGTTGACATATATCTTAAGCAGGTATATTGTTTGCAAACTCCTGTGGTAGGTGAATATATGTCAATGATACTGCATGGGCCTGCACTCTATTTGTAAAAGCATTTCTGGCTGTTTCCAAACAAAAAGACTACTTACCTGCTGAGCTGCTTTAAATTACTTTTGAGAACCCATGCTCCCAGACTAGAAAACAGTTTTTCAGCTAACATAACTTCACTAAAGACCTTACACATTTTGCTGTGAATTCAGTGCAATAAAATCACATTTGCTGCCCTTTGGGGTTTTTTTTCTTTTTTTTTTTCAGTGAAATACCCATGTGGAAAAATACCAGTGCTGGCAAAAAAAAATGCAACTGCACAGGGGAGAATAGTAGGTGGTTTAATCTGTCCTCCAGGTGAATGTCCATGGCAAGTGAGTCTTCAGAAATCTTTCATTGCCTTTTTTTTTCCCTTATGAAACCACTATCTTAAATTCATTGTTTTAAATGTTGTGTTAAAAATCCATAAAAAGTGCCAGGTCTGGACAACCAAATTCCTTCTTCATCCGTAGCCAGCAGATCCACCCATTTCAATCATGCACCTTAGCCTTGTTCTGGAGTGCCTGCTTTCATAGGAGCGGAGTGATAATACAACCTCTATCTCCCGACCCCTTAGTCCTTAACCTTACTGCCAGCAAGAAGTTTAGCTGCAGCTTGCAGGGATATGCTCTTGGCCATAACAGGCAGGGTCCATAATACAAGATGGAGAAAATGTCAATGGAAAGACTCCCCCCTCCTCAACTCTCCAGACCATCAGCATCATATTCTCAAAGGCAGTTGCAGAAAGTGACAGAAAGAAGCAATATAAAACCTGACTACTGAGATTCAGGTCAAGTGCACATTTGATGTAAGACATAAATTTGTTTTATCCTGGCAGGCCCTTATAATACAGAATCAGAAAGAAAACTGTGGCGGTACCCTGCTTTCCCCAGAGTGGGTGGTCACTGCAGCTCACTGTTTGGAGCATACTCATCCTAAACAGCTTCGGGTGAGACTGGGTATGTATCTTTCCCTGCTGATGTTATCAAGCTGTGGTTGTGGTGGCAGCTTCTCATCCTGGCAAACCAGAGTAAAAGACAAAACGTGCCGGCTTTGGTAGTATAAGGGAATTGTCCTTAAGAGGTGTCAGACTAGAAACCCCCTATTGCCTCAAACTTCTGAGGAATCAAGGAGCTGCCTGGCATGACCTGCAATTAATAACTTTTCCAGGTGAACACACAATAAATTACAATGAGAAAACTGAGCAAGAAAGTGGAGTTGCCAGGATAATCATTCATGAAGAATACACGAAAGGACAAGTCAATAATGATATTGCCCTCCTGAGCCTGGAAACACCTGTGAATCTCACCGATCACGTGGTGCCGATATGTTTGCCTGAAAAACGGTTTGCAGTGCATGAACTGTCCTCCATCAAGTTCTCCACAGTGAGCGGGTGGGGACGCCTACTAGATGGAGGTGCCACCTCTTCTGTTCTGATGAAAGTTGATTTGCCACGTGTAAAGACACAAGAATGTGAAAAGGAGACCGATTTAAATATTACAGAGAATATGTTCTGTGCAGGAGACCTGACCGGCGTTAAAGACTCCTGCAAGGGAGACAGCGGTGGACCTCATGCTACAAAGTACAAGAACACTTGGTTTCTGACCGGGATTGTCAGCTGGGGAAAGGGCTGTGCTGTTAAAGGCAGCTATGGGGTTTACACAAGGGTGTCCAAATACATCGACTGGTTGAAGAAAAACATGGATTAATGATGTTGAACCAGAGCATTTCCAGATCATGTTGTTGCCCCTCAATCCCTCTGTGCCGTTTTCCTATTGAAGCATTCCTTCATTGTCTTAGATATGCGATACATGTGATACCCACACCGCTATTAATGATTTGAAACAAGCCTAATGCCTACTTGAATATATAAAATAACTTCCCTATCAGTATTGTTTGTAAACTTGCGTGTCTTGTCAAGCGGGCACAGAACGGCCATAACGACTCGGACTCAGAGTCCCTCTCGTTCTGCATCCATTTTCTGCTAAGGGACAGAGCTAGATGCTGAGAGAAGGACTGTCAGCAACACGTCAAGCGTGCCACGATCCTTCTTCTGGCTACCCTCTCAACTTCTGGTAACCAGTGATGTACAGACTTCCTGAGACAGAAGTTGCATTAGGTTGAATAGTCATGAATGAACATGTTGTCCACAAATGTGTGCAATCTCTTTTGAACACATTTATGCTTCTGGCTTTCACAACTTCCTATGCTGTAATGTAATGATGCAATAGCAGAAGAAATAGAAAAAGTGTTTCTTCTAGCTTATGTTAAAGTAGCTTTCTCCAACAGTTGCAGTGGCAACAGGTAGATTTGAGGGGGGGGGGAGGACACATCTGAAA